CGTTTCAACATGACAAAGACCTGCTTTTGGTCAAGTCCTTACTAAAAATCAGTGGTTCGGTTCATAACAGCCCACCAACGGACCACTCCGGTCGCCCCTATCGTCACCTGACTCCACTCCCCTCCGGTCCTCAGACCGCGCCGGTGCCCTCCTCCCGGGTTCACGCGCCGCCGACGGCAGACGCGCCCTCGTCGCGCAGGCCTTTCCCGTTGCCGTCGGAGGACCCGGGAAGTCTGGGCTTGGCTCCCAGCGGTCGCTCCTGAGGCACGGAGGATTGGGCGATGCATTGGGGTTCTGAAGAGGAAATGGCCATGTAGGCCCAATGTAGGCCAGGTTCTCTTTGACCACTTCCAGGTGGTGAATGAAGTCCTCTTTGAAGTCCAGGACTCGGAGAGGACATGGTGTTGGATCATTTTGGATGGTTTTGGGGGGCCTGAACTTGATGAAGGCATCAGTTCCGAAGGTGCCCGGCGGACGCGAGGAGAAGCACTCTCAGAATAGACTGGAAGGTGTCCAAAGGAAGAAGAAGAAGAAGAAACGTTGAGAGGCAGTCCTTTTATCATGAAGCCAAGGTGCTTTGTGAGTTTTAAGGATCCATTCAGGAGGTATATCGGGATAGGATTACACCAAACCTACTATCGGACATACACCCGCCAATCCAATCAGACATGGCTTGGGAAGAGTCCTTTCTGTTCAATGATGAGCATTTGTGGATACTTTCCCCACCTGACAACGATACTTCAAGAGTTTGAGTGCCAAGATGCTTCTGCCGTACGTGCTCTTCTGTATCTGGATCTTTGGTCCAATGGTTCAGCAGCGTCCTCTTGTTCCTAGCAAGGCCAGGAGTGCCCCGAACGAGTCGCGTCGCGTCCGAACGCTCCGACGCTCCGGACTCGTCCGGCAGGTCCGAGTGGCCACTTCGGTGCAGAAGCGCGGAAGCACTTCCTGCTGGAGGCGGGCTTCTTCGGGCTTCGACGGTCCAGAAGTGAACAAAGCAGGTTGGGGGCCAGGGCGGGTCGGATGATTGAAGCTCCGGACCTCTTCCTTCTTCTTTTTCTTCGTTCTTGGAAGGTGTTTTGGATGCAAGTGGGTGGTGTGTTATCGAAAAGGATGTAGAAAAAAACACATGTATATCTGGAACCCCAAACAACCAGAAATTAATGGATGTTTCTACAAACGACCATTTGCTATGTAAAGGACCTTCATTGCCATATTGGAACATCCAATTGTTTCTGGTTGATTGGGGTTCCAGGTAGATATATGTATATAGCTGCTCATGTGGCCTGGTATGCTTCGACGAGGACAAAAAAGGTATACCTGGAGCCACAGGGGGTGGCTGATGGAATGGGGTGAAGCAAAGGAGATTTGCCCCGAAATTTACAGGCTCCACCATGAAACGGAGCCTGACAGTGCTTTTTCGTAAGCCGGGGGCACTTCCCGGAGCGGAGCTGGCAGTTGCACTTCAAAAAGAGCCAAAGCCAGTCGGACCCCTCATGGACTCACCTGACACAAGTCGGATTATCATCAGGCCGGACGAAAGCCGGACGGAAGCGACTGAAGCCTCGAGGATGGCATCACCTTCCTGAACCATGGTGCCTTTGGTGCCACGCTGAAAAGCTGCCTCGACAGCAAACGCCAATGGGCAGAATACATCGAGCGGCAACCCGTGCGCTTCTACGACCGAGACACGGTGGCACAGACCGGGCGGTGAAAAGGTCGCAGAAGAGAAGGTTTTGGAGTAGAAGGTTTGGGCAGTTTTGTTGATCCCTATCCCTTGCAATTTCTATTCTTAAAGCATCTTGAAACTGTTTGGAAGGTCGGAAAGTCAATTGGAACCATGTAGTGGAGCTCTTTGGTTTCCTTTGATTCCGGATCGTTAAATTGGCTCGCTTGATTTGCGGATCCAAGACGATCTGGCTATGGCTGTGCCTCAAGAAATACCACCCTGCAACCCGCAGATTTGAGAGTACTTTCCTTTTTTACCAGGGGGTTGGGAGGATACCTGTTTTTTCCATAGCCATTTGACCTGCAGTTTGGTAGCACACCATCAGCTTCTGGTCAGACCCATGTAGGATGTTTGGGCAGAATTTGGGTGTCCTCGCAATGTCCTGACTTGTTCTGTTGACCAAGCATCTACGACCAAAGGGGTCACCCATAGGGGGAACCCACTGATGCATTGGACCCCCCTTGGATGGTTCTGGTATGAAGCACCTATATAGTTGTAAAACTCCACCAAAGCCTCTCGCATCCACATGCCGTTCTTAGCGCAAGATGTGGAAACCCCAAGCTCGCCAGATGCCCCGACCAGTTTCCCCACCCGGCCCAAGTTGGACGTTTCCGTTCCCCTCTCCCTCCGTGGTCTTCGGTTGGAACTGGCCGCGGCCGAGGAGAAGCTTTTCCCTGGCTGGTTCACGTCACTCGAGGCCTAGCCCAGGCGGAGAACGGGGTGGAGACCCTTCGTTTGGGGTTTGCGGACACATGGACAGCTTCAGCTTTAGTTCTTTTTCTTGGAAGATCCAAGAGACACGGTGGCACAGGGACGCACCCCCAACTTGAAAGCGCGAAAGCGAGACTTCGGCGGGTACGGAGGGACACTCCATTTGGGGGACTGATGAGCATGGCGGGTACGGTGGTGTCACGGTGTTTCTCTCCAAAGGCCTTCCACGAAAAGAGGCCTCCCAGACTGGGATCATCGAGTCCCATGATCCGCCTTCGATGGCGATGACGGTGGTCCTTGTGATGGCCTTGAGCCTGAAGAGATTCCCACCAAATCTACAGGTCTTTTGGAAGATTTCCACCTCCAACAGAACCGGAAACCGATCCTTTTGCTTCAGGGTGCAAATGTTCATGAAGCACTGACCGCCTTCGACTTCTTCCCGCGGAAAGTCGGACATCGTTCCTTCCTTTCCGATTTCTTCGGAGCGCAGCGCTTCGCCCGCGCAAAAGCCCGAGGTGTTGAAGACTCCGCCCGAGCAGCTCCTGCCTGTGCCCTCCGTGACCGTGGCCTGCAACGCGCTGCTGCGCAGCTGGCAGCGGCACCAGCGGCCCGATGCCACCCAGCGCCGCTCGGAGGACCGAACCAAAGCGACGAGGGCGAAGCGGCGGTGTGCGAGGACGGAGACCTGAGCGTCGACCTCCTGTGGAGTGGATGGTGGACTTGGAGTGAGTGACTTGGGGCCCATTCATGTGAGTGACATTGGGATGGATGCAGTCCATCGCAGATGAAGGACTGCTCACTTGGACGAACTTGTTGGGAGGGTTTTTCGGAGGCGAGAGGCAGCTTTCTTGGGCAGCGAACTGGTCATTGGCTTCTCTTGGAAAGAACCCTCACAAATTCTTAAGTAAAGATACATGGAATTATCCCGGCAAGAGACCCCAAACAGTGTGTGTGAGAGGTCTAGAGGTGCAGCAGCAGAAAGTCTAGAGATCAAGACGCATTGGGGTCCAGAGAGGTGATGGTGGTGATAAAAGTGGAGATCGTGGTGATGGCGGTGGTGAGTGAGTGAGTGAGTGAGGGAGTGAGGGAGTGAGGGAGTGAGGGGGTGAGTGTGAGAGTGTGAGAGTGTGACAGTGTGAGAGTGTGAGTGTGAGTGAGAGTGAGTTAGAGTGAGTTTGAGCATGAGCGTGAGCGTCGCGTGTGTGTGAGCGTGAGTGAGATGAGAAGGCTGGCGCGGCACTTTGTGTACCTCGAAGTGCAGAATGATTTCGTGGCAGGCGCAGCACTTTGTGACCCTCAGAGTGCAGATTTTGAGGCAGGTGCAGGACTTTGTGCTCTCAGATGCTCACTCTCACAGCTCACTCTCACATATCTGCACTTCGAGGTTCACAATGTGTTGTGCATATCTGCACTTCGAGGTTCACAAAGTGTTGTGCATGCCACGAAATCTGCACTTCGAGGTTCACAAAGTGCAGTTCCTGCCACGAAATCTGCACTTCGAGGTTCACAAAGTGCTGTGCCTGCCACGGAATCTGCACTTCAAGGTTCACAAAGTGCTGTGCCTGCCACGAAATCTACACTTCAAGGTTCACAAAGTGCTGTGCCTGCCATGAAATCTGCACTTCAAGGTTCACATGCGACAGTCCTGATAAGGCGTTTTGCCGCAAGAGTGCTTCCAACGACAACATCAAGGTACCAAAACGCAGCTTTCGCATGAGACTTCCCCCGATTTCTGAAAACATTTGAAAACGACCCACGAAATCTGCATTTCGAAGTAAAACCGCTTCGATCCCTTGCGCGTGTCACGACAAGTGACCACCATGCCCAAAACTGCGCACGGCACCACAACGAGAGCGCAGTCGCGACAAGCGCCCGCCGCGCCCACGCAGATTCTGCGAGCCTGCACAGTCGAAATGCTGCTGGGTGGGCCAGGAATCCCAACAGCTGATGAGTCTTTCGCATGTGCAGGTGCTGCTGATTGCATGGGGGTGGGGAAAAGAACAAGAACAGCTCAGCTTTTGGAATCAGGCCAAGGAAAGGACCCTGAAGGATCAAAGACAAAATCTCAGCCATCCAAAGCCTGGCAGATTTGTCCTTATATGCGGGTATCCTGAAGCAAGCAAAATAGACAACATGTCGTTGTCGTTTTCATCCACTTCGGCCCAGCTTTGTATCCGCAACAGATCTCAATCCTTCTAACAACGCAAGGCAAACCAACTCCACAGAAATAATGGCCTCCAACCGCAGAGCGATGGCCTCCACCCTACTAGCGACGGCCTCTAACCTACCAGCGATAGCCTTCTAAACCTTGTTGCGAACTCATCCCCCAAACAGTGTGGACACACTAGGGGTTCTTATGGCAATAGTTAAGCACCGGTGTCTAATCGAGGTGTCGCACCGATGTGTGCGGCTAATTCGCTGCTATTTGCAGTGCATTCATGCCTCCCGATAGCCACCTGACCCCGTGGAACTGACCAAACCAAGTAGGATTCCCATCATTCTAGCCTAGGCTTCCTGGCCCACCATTGATTCTATAGCTGAAAAGTTTCGTGGCCCACCATTGTTCTACCAAGGGCTTTACACCTTCAAAACCTCGTCCAATCACACTTTTCAACGGTCCCTTCCAATGGTTCAAGTCCTGTACAGAAAATCCTCAACTTGCCAGCAAGAAATACGCAGCTCCCGGTGCCTTGCACCGTGGGTCGTCCTGAGGCGTGGCCATGATGTCGGTGACCTACGGCTCGACGAAGAAGCTGGTCCGGAAGCTGGCCGAAGAGTCGGGCTTCCAGGCGAGGCGGCGAGGATCAAGAGGGATAAATAAAACTGCAAGAGACAGGAATATATGAACTGTAGATATGTATATATATATATGTGGTGATATATGGTATTTATATATATATACATATATTACATGTAGTGATATTGATTAGTTATATAGTTAGTGATATATATATTTACATATATACATAATATGTATAAATGGATAGTCAAAAAAAAGGTAGGGGCGCTTTCTACTAGGCCAATTTGCACAAAAAACTGTGGACTATGTCTGCACTGTACAAGATCAAACGCTTCTGTTTTCGTGTGTTGGGGGTACTTTTTTTTCTTTTTCCGGCGATCGAGGGGGTTGAGGACCTTCAAGCGGTCGATCTTTTGGTCCGTGTCATGTGTCGTAACCGACCCGGGGTTGGTTGGAATCAAAGTGCTGTTGCAAGCAGTTGCTGACTCACGCGGTGGGTGGCTTCACCTTAAACGCATGTGAGTTGGACCCCAGGCAGTTGCACTGTCAGTGGTTTTGACCGACTTTTGTTTCGGCCATGGAGCTGGACGTCTTACCCTGCCAGCACCGCAGAGAGATAGGCGCAACAAACCCCAGCAATTTTACGCTTTCCATTTCATTCTCTACCAAACGCATGGTATGAAGTGTTAACAGTTCTTTGTTTGCTATGAACATCGTGGGTTTGAGAGGTTACTATATGCATGGCCCTCAGTGAGACTTTGGGGCACTTTGAGTGTTTCTAGACATTCATGTGGTCCCCATGTATTTAAACATCACATATATATATATATGTAGATATAGTATCTAGTATCTAGTATATAGTATCTAGTATATAGTATATAGTATATAGTATATAGTACATATCGTGAAACAACTTGGAAATCTTCATGGTTTCTTGATGTCCCCAACGAGTCCTCTGGTGGCCTCGGCTTGGCCCCAGCGCGTTTCTGCTTTTCGCCAGAGGTCGATGAAGCTCCATTGACGTTCCCGCTCACGGATGAAGTGCTTCGGCAGCAGCGCTTCGGCAGTTCCTGCGAGAGAAAGAGGAGCAGCAGGTTCGCCTAGCAAGAGAGGTTGAGAGGTACATATGGGATGCGCGACAAAGGGCTGTTCAACCTCTCTTGGTACCCTTGGGAACCGCTTGGGAACCGCTTGGGATTGTTTCGATCTGATCGGCGATTGGGCCATTGGTGATGGTCTGAAGACCTCACAGTCACCATATGGATTCACTCGGGATGCACCGAGGTGTTTACAGAGGGGTGCACCTTTCAACTCAATGATTGATTCATTAAGGTAATTCTAGAGTCAGTGGTGCCGATAGAACAGGGCTGCTCAATCTCGTTCATGCTATTCAACCAGCACCACGTTCCGCTTTTGTTGTTGGATGTCAGGTACGTAGGACTTCAGGGGTTTCCATTTTTTCACTCGAACTCCAAGGTGCTATTCAGAATCAACGGGTTCTTCTACATGGGCCCATGTTCGTCGTCCGCGGTGAGGCAGAAATCCTGGAGTCTTTGGACTCTGTGCTGAAGCCGAACACCACGCTGGTGATTCTAGACCTGATTCCATCGAATGCGCCCTTCGTGCCACGGCTCCAGCCATCATCCCCCCATGGCAGACCCGTGGCACAAACCGGGTCTTTTGGGGTTTTTCAACCCCGCTTTCGATATTTTTCACAAAAGAACACCCAGTTTCAGCAGTTTTCAGTTCCTTAAAACGTCCAGTTCGACAGAATTTGGCACCACCGAAGTAAAGGACATTCCATTTCAGGCCACCGAAAGACAATGGTTTTAAATGGTCTTTTGCCAAGGGAGATCATCCAAACTCAGCCGAAGCTGTCCTGTCATGTCCTGTCATGTATTCAGTCCGGTTCAGCTGGTGTGTCCGGAAGCGTGACGTTGAGACGTGAAATCCCATGTCGAACGTAGACTCAGCCGATGAGTTCAACCCCCCCAAAAAAAAACCGAAGAGCTTGGTCCAATAACAGAAGGGCATCCGCGATGGGGTGGGTTGATGTAGCTCAAGAGTCTACATGGGGTGCGGCCTCTTTTTTCGAGAGCTTCGGTGGGTCGAAAACACGCGAATTCTGGGACTTGATGCATCGGACGGCCACAGGTGGTGGAACACATGTCCAAACCTGGCATAGGTGGGCCTGACAGAGGCCGCGTGTTTGGAGGGATTTGACAGCGACCATGGAGTGATTGGACAGCGACAATGATCACATTGGAAGAAAAGACATCCAGAACCATGACATACCACGACTCCAGCTTACTAAAAACCCACCAAAAAAACAACATGTCCGAAACTCTGGCCATTTGGTCGCATGGACAAAGGGTGGTGTGGGGCGACACCTGATACTGATGGGCGATGCCGGAAGACTCCCTGTGCAGTGGAAGTGGAACATAGACCCCCTGGAAGAGCAGTTGTTTTTCTAACCAATGTGGTTCCTGCGATCCCTTTCCCTCGGAGGCCTCCTTCTTTCCTCGCAAGATCCCATCTTCTCAGGTCCTACCCCCGGAGGCCATCGAGCTCTGCCGTAGCAAGGTGAACGGGGGTGGGGGCGGAATGAGAGGGGAAAGTAGGGGAGGAAACGGAAACAGATCCGGTTGAGGGAAACGCACACATATTCCCCAAAATCGTTGGTTCAAACCTCTGAAACTACACACACCCTCACACTCTCTCTCTCTCTATACAGAGAGAGTGCTAGTAGGTGAGAGGATCTTCCGTAACTGACCTTGAAAAACGACGGGTGCAACAACGGCCACCCTTCTGAAGCTGATCTCCCCAAGAGGGTCAGAAGTTCCCCAAGAGGGTCTGAGTCCTCGGATCTGCAGCTTGCGGATCGCTGTGGCTCTTGTCGTTTCAAAGCTTTATTTTGTAGACTCTTGATAAGCCCCCCTGTGACAGAAGAGGTTCTACAATCCAATTGGGTGGGTGTCCGTGTTCTTTCTCACAGACTATCTCCACCAACACCCGTATGTGTGGATGCGCACCTGCCTGCAAGTGAGTGCATCCAATTGGGTGAGTTTAATGAATCAGTCTACATCACGGGAAGCAACCCCTCAAGTGCGCTTCCCAGCGGTTTTTGGCCACAGGGACTGATGGAGTGGGGCGGATGTTATGCAGACTGCACTCAGACCATCCGGCCACTGGCCCTGGGATAGGCGCATCTAGAAGCAATGGCCACCAACCTAGAAGCAGTGGCCTCCAACCTACTAGAGATGGCCTCTAGAAGCAGTTGCCTCCAACTCCAACCTATTTGTTTTTCATTTTTTTCAATTTTCGATCACAGCAGCTGTTGGTTTCCGTTTGCCGGATCATGTCAGCCAACGTGAAGGTTGACGCTTTCTTTTTCGGGGCACACTGACAGACAATTTTTCAGGATCGCTCTATATTTCTGCATGTTCACAACACAATGCATCCACGGCAGTTCATACCCGGAGTTTACTTCGTCAGTGGGCACCAGCTCTGATGAACGAGCAAGAGTCCATGTTGAACCAGCTTCGGCGCCAGCGACTCTTTGGCGCGCTCGTTGTGACAGTTCTTCAGACCAAGACCCGACGCAGACCTGACAAACACAGACAGGTCTCGGTGGTGGGTGAACTTGTAAAGCTGGGTGCTGGTACCATCGAGTGAATCCTGACGCATCGTCGATATCCACGTTCGATAGACTGGAGGTTTGATTCACTTGGCGAAAGAGAACGTTCCTTCTCACGAAGATCCTCACATCCACGTTCAGAGACTGGACTCGCCCTCTCCGCGTGGGAGGCGCCTGATGCCTTCCTTCTGCTCGATGCAGCCCACGGGCTGTTGGGCCGCTCGGCGCGGTTGGGCACTCCGCAGAGGGTGTGGCGGCACGGAGGTCCCGAGACGTCTTGGGTTCAATGATTCATGTTCGTTCATGATCCTTTAAACCTTCAGAAAGGTGGGGTGTTCAGCTAGTGGCTGTGCACCTGGCACCTGTACTGGACTCTCTATATACTGTCAGCTCTTGGCTTTTTGGTGGGGGAAGTGAGAGGGGGGATGGCATCTGGTGGTTTGAGACGGAGATTGTGAGCACAAGATTGGAGGATTGAACCGAAGTGGGAGCTGGTCGACACCCGTTGAAGACCCAAAAGTGGGTTTGACCGTGCTCGGAAAGCTGAAGACCGCACCCAGAAGTGTTAGTGTTGTCTTCGTCAAAGACCAAGTGGGAGGGAATCATGCCAAAAACTCCAATCCCCTGAACCTTCCTATAAGAATATCATAGATAACATATGGTCATTAAACACGCCTGCTCGAACCTTCCTCGACCGTTTATTCTTTCTTCCGCTGCTCGAACCACTTCCGCCAGCTGCTACCAGGCTGGCCCCTGAAGCTCTCCGGCCCACGGCGCGAGTATCCCGTGGATGCCGTCATGACGAACTGCCGCTGTGGGCGCATGGAGGGTCGGGCTCAGGGGGTGGCCGGAGCCCAGTGGCACATGAAGAACAGCAAAAGGCTTAATGAAATCAGATGAAATAAGTAGACATACCCTTCCTCCAACAAGCATGGAAGTGGACAACCCCCAGTTTGTAGAGGAAATGGGCTGTCCAGGGGCCATGTTGCACTTCCATGAGTGTTTCAGGGAGTGTATAGCAATTAGTCCTATAGAAATAGAGGTAGCAATTCATATTGTCCTTTGTCTTGAAACCATCGAACTAGTTTGGTGACCATCCATGTCATGGGGTGGCTTGGATGGGGGCCGAGCACCATCCATGTTGGAAAAGGGCTTCGTCCTTCTTCAAAGTGACCGAACTGAGATGAAGTCACCCCTTCCAGGCCCTGCTTCGGCCGATCACCCGTTCAGGTCAGCCGGTCACCCGAACCTTGTTTCAGGCCTGTCAAAGGTCATGTTGGCCGAAGCTGAAGAAGCTGGCGCTCCAGGAGTGGAGGATGGTTTTGGGTTCTCCACGTGGAATCCGGTCGCGTCGCGCGGTCGCGCGCTGGATCGGATCTGAATTCGCCCCGGGAGATGTTTCTGGCAGCTCAACTTCGACCGGCCCAAAAGGCCCCAAGCTGTTTTGGTGCAAGCTGTTGGCTGCCGAACACCGAGGCCACAAGTGGTTTTGTGGCGCCAAGGGCACCGCGCTGCTGCACGTCTCAGAGCCACTGCAGGACGCTTTCAGAAGCCATTTGTTTGTCAAAGTTATCATTTTTCTTTCTCCATTGGTCCCTTTCCCCTTCCTCCGCTTCCTTCCTTTCTTTGCATCATGGATGGCTTCAGACAGGAGTGGTTGGAGCCCTTAGTGATCTCGCACGGCTACGGGCCGCTCGGCACCGTGCCAACGGGCCACTCGGCTCGTTCGCTCGGCAGGCACAGATTCATCGGACTCGGCACGCCCAAAGAAACCGATGGGTCATCCTCAAGTGAGCCGGACCCGCAAAAAAAACCTGTTCATATTCACTCAGTGCCGTGTCATATCGTGAGTCTACCTCAAGTAGAGGTCGAGGAGTCGAGGCCGCCGGCATTGGCAAATCTCCGACGCCCGACTGAATTGAATTTTGGGTAGGTGGTAGGTGGTGGACCTGTGAAGTTGGGTGATATCGCAAGGGGTTTTGTTTGTTTTCTTTCAGGACCCTTGGATCCTCAGACCTGGCAGTGAGGCTGGTATACCTGGAACATCCGTTCCTGTGCAACTTTGATGCCTTTTGGGGTTGCAAGATCCACATATGTCCATTGATGTCCGGAACGCATGTCCATGTCCAGAACGTGTGAACCTTTTTTTTCTGCCATGTTCGATTTTGGCGTTTGGAGGAGGTCTTGGTGTTGTGAGCGACATAAGAGAGAGAGAGAGAGAGAAGAAAGAAAGAAAAGAAAAGAAAAAAGAAAAAGAACAGAAAAGAAAAGAACAGAAAAGAAAAGAAAAGGAAAGGACAGGAAAGGAACGGAAAGAAAAACAGAAAGTAAGTAAGCCGCAGGCTTTATAAATATGGCGAGGCTCAGGAGATGTGATTCTACCTAGCCAGCGCTGGGACCAACAGGAACGTTCACGTCGGCACGTCCACATCGTTCCTTTCCAGTTCTCTCGGGGACGACGAAAGGCACTGGACCGGAGAGCTCGGGGTAGACCGGTTCAAGTCACCGGTGGAGATCGGTCTGTTTGAGTGGTCAGAACCACCTAACCAGCTCGGCACTTGTGCTGCTCACGAAGCCAAGCCTGGCAGGGGGCGTTTTTTTGGACCAGACGCCCCTATGATCGTTCAAGCAACCCACTTTCATGAAGATGTTGTTCAACCAACGACTGTCAAGTGCAACAATTTTTCAACCCCAATCATCACGGACCATGTATGACCATGTGTGATTGTGGTGGTGGTTTGCTTCTCCGTGGCAGTTCTGCACCGAACTCAGCGTTTCCGGAGTTCATGCCTTCGTGGCAACTGCGCCGCCGTAGTTGGAGCTACCACTGTACTATACCACATACTACCACTATACCACACAGAACCACCACACCCGCCACACCCGCCTCACTCGTTGGATCGGACAGTCTGGATCTACGTGCACGTCCACGCGCTTGTCAGGTCTGACCTGCCGAGCGGCTTCTACTGGCCCGGCCTGGCCGACTGGAGCTCCTTCCTGGCGCTGGACGAAGCGATGGCCTTCTGGGACCTGGCCACACGCCAACACACCGCGCGCGCGGGGGCGGGGGGGCCGGTGCGCACGGGGGGGAAGGTGTTTGGAGCGATGAAGATCCACTGGCTCACCTTGGAGGGGGGTGAGGTCTTGGGCTTGAGGTGTCGGATCGGATTGAGGGATTCGCGAATCCCGGTTTGGGGCGGATTGAGGTCACCAGAGGATCCTCATTCTTCATCATTCTTCTCATTTCCACGACAGAATGGGTGCCCACAAGGCCACTACAAAACAGAGGGATACCACAGGTTTCATCTACAGGTTTGCGGTGGTGCCGAAAGGTGACCGGCACCTGTGATACCTGTGGACCTTCCAACCTACTAGCGACCCAAAAAGGGATCTCCTTTACAGAGCCAGTCACAAAAGAGCCAGGCAAAATATCGTCCAAATAGACTGTGCCGTGTGCCGCGCACAACGACCCAATGGAGTCGCTTTCGCAAGCGGAGTCGATTTCGAGAGGCTCTCACCCTCTCCCCTCACCATCCCCCCTCCTCCTTCCTCTCATTCCTCTCTCTCTCTCTCTCTCTACTTCGTCTACTTCATCATCTTCTGTTTGGTTCGTCGTTGTGAGGTTGGCTTGGATGCTGCCAGGACCTACTGCAACTACATGGTCAGAGATGCAGTGCCTTGCTTTGAGGATCAGTCGTGCCCAGCTGGAAACCCGGAGGGAATGGATGAATGGATGAATCGACAGACTAGACAGGGCCCCGGTCGACTGCCAAGGACTGCCAAGGACTGCGGACCCGGTCGACTACCATCATCAGGGCAAGCCACCATCAGTCCCACCGCCTTCCACCCTTCGTCTCCATCGTTGCACTCCGCCGTTCTTTTCGCGCACCGAGGCCATGCTGCTGGCCGACGCTTGGGGCACCGACCTGGGGCTTCCGGACCGGGTGAAGGGACGAAGCCGGGACGAAGCCGAGGGCGGAGCTCGGGACGGCCCCCATCTTCGTCGGCCTCCGGTGCCGCGACCTGCGCTACGCACCGGAGGAGGAGGTGCTGAGCACCATGGCGCTGGTACGCTTGCCCGACTTCGCCGCACAGACGGGTGAGCGTCTGGCTAGCAGAAGCGTCGTTGATCTGGGGACCTTTGTTTCATCACGATCTGAGCCGTTAGCTAGTGTGGTTCACATATTTGTTTTGTATCCCACACCTCATGGGGTATTGATTTGCCACTTCCATATATCTTGTTTGTGGTCTTCAAAGCGCAAAGATTGCAGCAGCTTTTCTATAGGCCCTTGGTGATGGCAGAGGTTCCTTTTGAAGGGGAAACATGTCAAGTCTTAGGATCACGAATCAATGCAAACATTGAATAAGGCTTACGGAGTTTCGATGGCATTCGGGATCTTAAGTCCAGTCACTAGAGTAGGATCCTGCTGCCACACATCTTTTTTCTGTTCGTCTGACGTGGACTCTGCAACTTGAGAATGGATTTCTGAGAAAGAGACCCGTTTCCATGTCCACCACATGCGGTTTCAAGCAGAAAGCACCTCTGCTCGATTACTAAACCTTTGGTCCCACCTACACTGGTTGAAATTATCATGGTTACGGTTACGTGGAGTTCACCACCTGTTTAGTATTCGGAAAATGGTCCTCCTTCCAGGGCCGTGTTGCACGTAACCATGCAGGCTCTCCCCAGGCCGTGTAGGTAGTCAAAGATCAAACTGCCAGGGCCCCTGTCTCTGAGGAACAGGACGTTCTCCAATGTCGCTAAGGCAGACCTATGAGGAGGCAGAAGCGGTTCAGAATGCGCTCTACACGCGCAATATCGAAGTCCCAGTGAAAGCCCTTTCTGGGAAGCTCTATGTGCGACGCTTGTTTTGCATGGAGTGAATCATGGCGCGGGTGAGTCTGCTTGTTTTAGTTGGGGCTTACTCTCCCCAAGAACACGCTACTTCAAGCTATTCTTCTTCGGTCATACTCGGGACATAGACACAAGCTGCAAGGCACGCCTTGCAGACCGGTGGTCCAAGCCCACCGGTGAGACGGTTACAGTGCGACATGTTTCACTTCGCTGCCGGGGGAGGAAACGGAAGAAAGATGGACTTGGTGTGCAGCACTTGGCTGTCAGGACCTTGTCCGCCAGTCAGAGGCCTTTGGAAGGGGATAGCCTTCAAAACATGGGTTTTTTCATGGACAGTTCACCCCCAAACGACCCTGGCGACGTCTGGGTCGACCTTGAAATGTGACGACCTGGGCGGTTCGGGGAAAAAGCCCAACATCCAGAGGTGTCCAGCATCAGTTGGAAGGCTTTGGGAGCCTTCTTCTTCTTCTTCTTTCTTAAAGATTGGGGCGCATCTTCGAAGGCTGCACGACTTCAGGCATCTCAGCTCACATCTACAATCATCTCGAGGACGGGCCGGACCCGTCGTGCTTGGAGGAGGGCGGTCCAACGGCGACGACGGACGACGGACATGATGCACGGTGGAAATACCAACGGCTTGCAGAGGCGTACAGGTAGTATCTAAGGGCCAGCTCTCCGCTTTTATGTGACTACGTGGTGTTTTGTTCTTTTGAAGACCCATGTATCCATGTGGCGGTGGCCCACTGGGCTTGTGGCTTTGGGTTAGCCTCTCTTGACCCTCCAATTATTCCTGACCAGGCCCAGGTGTTTCTTTTTGGGGCAACCGCGAGGAGTACGAGATTCTACGTGATGCGATCCTGGAGCTGCAAAGGGCAGACAGTCTCAAGTAGACGTGCTTCTTCGGTCTGAAAGCAGCAGAGGACATCCTGACATCCTCATCTTCCCCTTTTGAACGTTTTTCAGAGGTTCGGAGAACATGTTCAAATGGATGGACGGGGGGGGGATCGTGAACTTCGAAGTCATGTACTTGAAGGACTTGGAGGGTGGCTATGGCTCAATAACCCATCAAAACTGAGTGAACATGTGTGGGTAGATCCATCTCTGAATGAAACCTGCAGCCAGTGAGTACAAAAAGGGGCATGGATAAACACAGCTGAACATCAGTGCGTTGTTTTTTCACCATGAGGACAGCGAGGATAGATCGCCCATGCTGACAGTCAGACCGATAATGTAGCGCAAATCCCGGTGATGGAAGATGAACAGCACATTTGCCCTTCTTTGTCGGTTGAAGTCCCTGATAATTCCACGGCTTTTTGAAGCATCTTGCAACCCGCAATTGGCCCGCAAAGCGACACACTCTGCTCAAAGGTGAAGAGATTTAACACCTCAAAGCGACCATGTGAACTTCACCAAATCTCCTCACTCAAGTTCTACAGATTCACCCATCCCCCCAAACTCCGAATCTCTCGCCGCGGCTTGGATTTGACCCGCCGCGGCAAGAGCCGCCGAGAGACCTCTCTTCCACCCACGCGCCATGCGCGAGCCACGCTGGCGCTTCGACGCCCAACGCGTCGGGTCTCACCGCGGCGGCCGCCCCATGCTGGGCACGAATGACGTCGACCCGACCGGGTCTTCGGAGCCTGTACGGCCCAGCGGAGCGACCGACCGAGGGGAGCGATCCGGTTCGCGGGAGGCCATCTTTTGGACCAGCTCCAGGTTGATTCTGAAGAACTGACTGGTGCGACGAAAGCAGGGAATAAGGCAATGAGCCCCCTGTTTAGAGATTCTATTGGATCCAGCCACCCTCAGCCACCCTGCTTTCGTCGCACCAGTCAGTTCTTCAGAATCTCCATCGATTCTTTGGTTGGATTCTGCGAGCGAAACCAGACTGAAGATGACAAGCAGAGACTGATTCAAATTCATGACTGATTCAAAGATGGCTTGAAACGCCGTGGGTGTGACTGTTGAGCTCCTAATTCTGGAGCTGGCGGAGAAAGGATCAAAGTCGGAGACAGGTGGCGTGGGGCAAGTTCGGCACCCCTTTGGAACTACTATGAACTACTGGTGCGGCAGATTTACATAGATTGGGGTGGTTGAAGTCGTGGTCAATGTAGGTCAATCTGGCAGTCGGAGTGTTTGGGATTTGGAGCTGCATGACTCATGACCGCAAGCAGACTCATCCACCAGCGGCGACCTGGGTAGATCGGGTGGTCCGACAGACGCCCCAGCTGAGGTTGTCGCTCTTGGAAGCCAATCTTCAACCAAAGCCTTCCTGCGGCCGGGGAGCCCCGCCGGTCAGGATGGCGATGACCTCCTGCAGCGGCTGGAGATGGAACAGCCAGAGTGGGTTTGGTGAGACTCATCTTGGGTTCTATTGGCATCAGAATGGTTCAGATTTGTTCTTTCCAGAGGCTATTCCAAGTGTCTGGGTGCGACCCCGCATCCATTGGTCTGTGTCAAGTGGATATCGTGTGCCTGGACGTATCAGATAACAGAACTCTTGCAAAAAACTGGTAGCTATTCAAACACAAGCAGAGTAGCCCATTCATTTCCCATTCATTTTCCCAATCTACTAGCTGCGGGGCTTCCAGAACTCGTCCACCTTCGGGACGTGAAGCAGTCGCCGCGGAACCGAGCCCGACTCGACTGAGGCTGGGAGCTGGTCATCGCCCCCATCGGCCTAGGCGGACGGCGGACGCGCTCCGGCCGTTGACTCGGCCGTTGACTCGGCGGTGCGACGGGGCGAGAGCTGGCGGGGTCGTCGATGTCTGCAGGCATCAAAGAGACCGATGTCTCACAAGCGCTGGCGGTGAGGGGAGCCTCAGTTCCTTTTTGGCCTGCGAAATGAATCGAATCCAGTAGCACTGAGTCCGGTGATGGCACTGAGTCCGGTCCCTCAAACCTCCCCGCTCCCCCGCTCTGCAGTGGATCCCTGTTCCTTGGGACGCTGCGAAGCGATGCGGCGCCCAGGCACGGACGGGTGAGGCACGTGAAGATGACCAATCCACCGGTCCGTGCCTTAGCCGAGCGAAACACGGGCGATGCGGGAGGGAGGGAGCTCCTTGCGGGGACGTGGGGCGTGGCTCTCTTGGTCTTGTGGGAATGGTTGATGTTCAGACAGCTCAAGTGGGGAAAGGAACCAACATGCCGGACCTGGGATTGAGCCCCCCTTGAAACGACCACGTCGTGCGAGATCTTCGGAAGTGAACACTGCTTCTACCATATGCTGCAAGGATATGGTCTTCCCGCAGCTTCTCCTTTGCGGCTTTCTGCGCTCCTAGATTCTGAGCACCTACCACCATGACAGCACGGAGAACATGCGCACGGACGCACAGACCACTCATGACTTTTCCAAGATCTTTTCTAGGTATTTCCCACGTCGACCATCGGGCAGAAACAACACGCTATAGTCACGGTGCGGATGATTTGGCCTTTCCAGCTTCGAACACCGACCGGTCCGGTCCGACGCCTGTTCACCACCCCAAACGAGCCAACGAGCAGCTCCAAGGACCCACAACTCACCCCCTCTCCAGGGGCTCAGGGACTCGGCTGAACCCAATCGGCTCTTGCGCAGCTTCACGCCACACAGACGGTCGACAGCCACAGTCCCCACGCGACCGCGAGCCGCGTCACCCGGGCGGAACGGGAACAGCCGTCCGCCGTTGCTCGGCTCGCGTCGTCTGCATGGTGCGGCTGTTGGGGCTGACGGGTCCCATTGCCTGTGGCAAGTCGACGGTGAGCGAACGGCTGGCTGCAGGAGGTGGGGTGTGGGATGGCCGGGGTGCTGGCGGGGTTGGTGGGAGGAGCCGGGTTTTGAGGCGCCTGAGGTGCTGGCCTACCAGTTACTCAATGATTTTGCACTACAAAACCAGGGTGAGGGTTGCTCATGACTCATAAGTAGTTCCTGGAATTGTGGAGCCAACATGGGGCTTGCGCCAGGCTGTAGGGCTTTCACATCTGAAAGACATGATGGTTCTCTAACCACGTAGCGGGTCCAGTCGCGTGTAGAATCTGGGGTTGCCAATCAATCTGCTTGGGCACAAACCAGATCTGTGGAGACGTGAGCTGTTCCGCAGACACGTCTTTCACGAAATCCTGACAGCATCTGAAAGCAAGGTCCGAGCGTACCTGGTTGGTTTCAAAAGGAAAGTGCTGGAGGAAAAAAGCACCCCTGACCATCCCAGAGACTTTGTACTCATCCGGGCTTGAAGTTCCCTGACTTGCTGTCAGGCTGGCCCGTGGTGGATGCTGACAAGATTGCCCATGAGCTGCTTTCTGATCGCGCAGGCTGGGGTCTGGTGTCTTGTGGGCAGCCTTGCGCCAGGCACTTTCATGGACCGGGGCTTGCATTTGACTTGGATGTTCATGCGGGACCTGGAGGTTCCAGGGTCCAAGCCCCCAAGCTCCAAGGTTCCCGGGTCTATGGAGGATCAGAGATCTCTTTTTCTTTGAGCCAAGATCGGATGAAGTCCACATTGGTCCACCATCGATCCGAAGGAATCCTCCAAACCACGAGTCCACCATTCGGCCACCCAAGTGGTGATGTTTTGAGGGGGTGCTTCGCTTCTACCGAACACATCGGCAAACACATATACCGAACAGATCCGCACAGCCACTTTGGTTGGTTGACTCATCCCCACGTCATTCTCACAAGCATGACTGCCATGACCCATCGAACAGTCCCGGAGGTTCCCAACCGTTTCCGAAAAACCCAGTCCGCTTTGGATGGCTGTGTGGCTGTGTGGTGCTTTTGGATGACTTCGCAGACACCTCTCTCTCTCTATAGATATTATCGATGATATATTGATATTAAACATAAACCATATAGAGATTAATATTTATAACCCTAGCCTTCAAAGACCATGAACAGAATGGTTGACCGGATGGTGTAGTAGTGTAAAAATCCTTAGTAAAACAATGGTTCTTTGGCAAAGACCATTAAAACACAGGTTGCTCGAATCCTATATTTGCATATATATATATATACACATGCTAGCGATGGCGAACCCCCCGAAGTGTCCTCTTCGTTGCCTTGGCCGAGTGCACCAGCGGATTCTCCGCCTGATCAATACTCGCGGTTTGCTCCCTCGGCCGGTTTGCAACCCGCCGGCCTTGCGTGGACAGGCCGCGTGCACCGGCGCGTGGTGGCGGAGTTTGGCCAAGAGGTCCTGACGGATGGCGCCATCGACCGTGAAAAGCTGGGAGACTTGAAGTGAAGAGCGGGTGAGCCACCGACGCGCACGGTCCACGGATGGCGCGCGATGAGAAGGCGCCGTGAAAGGCGACTCTGTGCGGCCCTTTGGATGGTGAAGGAGTCCTTGTGATGCGTGTGGTAACACTAGGGGTTCCTTACGGTAGGTGTTAAGGACGGGAGGTTCTCGTCGGCGCGTTTGGCTAATTCGCTGCTATTTACAGCGCATTCACCTCGAGATCTTCGAAGTGTATTTCCACCACTGCGCTGGCTCGCTCTCGTTGTGGTTCCGTGCAGATTTTCTGACTTGGTGATCACTTTTCGTGGCATGCGCAAGGGAAACCCCGTGGTTTGGTGGTCTAAAGTCGACTTTTCGTGACAGGCGCCGGAGATCGGAGTGTTTTATGTCGATGTGCAGATCTCGTGGCAGGTGCGTGACTTTGGGGGTGGTCTTCCCTGCTCTCACTTCGTCACAGGTGGAGTGAATCGTGACTTTTGGACACGTTGTTTGTTTTCAAAAGTCGGAGGACGTCTCAAGCGAAAGCTGCGTATTTGGCTCTTGCTGCGAATCACCTTGGCAGGGCTGCGCAATGTGAATCTTGATGTGCAGATTTCATGGCAGGCGCAGTACTTTGTGGACCTTGAGATGCAGATTCCGTGGCAGGAGCAACACTTTGTGGACCTTGACGTGTGGATTTCGTGGCGCAGTACTTTGTGGACCTTGAAGTGCAGATTTTGTGGCAGGGCAGCACTTTGTGAACCTTGAAGTGCAGAGTTCGTGGGCTTTGTGAACCTTGAAGTGCAGATTTCTCAACAGGCACA